GAAACCTTTTTTCGCTTCAATGACAGAACGAATATTATGATCCCATTCCATGCAACTTTTTTTTGAGCTCTATAACACTAAAATGTGCATCATTGGTTGTCCCTAGCATGTGTCTTTAAGCAGAACAAATGTTTTATCGAACTTGTTGTGCAAGTTTACCTGCATTGACTTTGATGGTTGCTTTAGCATTTGCAGACACCCAAGGGATCTGCTTCATGACTCCCAGGAGAATATAGTGATGTCATTCTCGTGTCCTTTGCAGGTTGCAAAAGTTTGAGGCTAAAGCACTGTTCTCCAAGTTTTGGATTGTCAATAGCCATTCCTGATCTATATTGTTGGCAGTGTTCCAAAAAACGCAGAGTGGCTGTTACGCGGCTGGGGGGGGTTTAGGCCCCCCAGTGCTTAAGCGGGCGCTCAGCACTTGGGCGAGCCATTAGAATAAAAAACAAGGGATATAATCGTTTTAAGGTTAGATTATTCATAAAAAATTTAAAAATATATTGAGACATATTTTAGTCCATAATTTCATGCATTTCAAATTCAAAAATCAAACTTTGAAGTTTAAACTTCAAACCATTAGGCATTAGAGTATTAGACCATATCCATAGTCCATACCATAATCCAAACTCCATAATCCATACACATAGTAAAAATTAAAAATAGGATAATATAATCCAAGATGGCAACTTAGCAAGACATCGATTCATCGTCAAAAATGAAAGAAAATAATAAATAACACATAGGAGTTAGGGCATACCAAATGTCTATAGTCCATGACTCCACAAGTCCACATACACTCCATAATGCTACATAAGTCCATATCCATAGTCCAAATAGTTAAAACTTACAAATTTACAAACCACAGTATACAACCAAGAGGAGGAAAAAAAAATGAAAGAAATGAACTCTTGAAGACTCAAAAGAGTCTTCAATCATCACTCATCATCAGAAAGCTGCATCTTATGCATCGGAGTCGAGGCCATCATCATTGGAATCATCTCCTTCCTCAACGTAATAGTCGTCCTCCTCTGTCTCTTCTGAATTTGCCTATGCTTCCTCCTCCTTATCCTCCACCCTCGTGCTTTAGGAAGAAGATCTAGTGGCCCTAAGAGGGTCGGCAGTTGTCCCTGAGGCCTCCATGACCATATCCCATGTCAATCCTTCATGCCCCTCGACCTCATCATTATTCATATTTTTTAATCTAAGGGGATCTATCTTAGTAAACCTCTCCTTCAAGTATCGATTATACTTGACATAGACTAGGTCATTGAGCTTATTTGATTCAAGCATGTTCCTTTTCTTTGTGTGAATATAATATATCAAATGAAACTAGTTGATATAAATATATAATACTACTAAAGTACAAATTTACAACTAACATGGTAATTACTAAGTAACTAGTAACTACTAAAGTACAAATACAAATTGGTAAATTATTAACTAATAAAATAAACTAAATTGCCATCTCAAAAATACTCCAATTCCGCTCACAATTGGACAAGGTAGTGGTTAGGCTCAAGATCTGAATGGCCAACTTTTGGAAATTTGGAGCACTACTCCTATGTTGGCTCCACCAATTGGCTGCAAATTGATTATGAATTACAATTGTTAATTACATATGGAATATGGATTATGGAAATCAAACAACAAACATAAAATGCCGGTGCAACTGGTCCACAGAGGTTGACCACTCTCACTATAGAGCTTCACGACTACAATTTAATATCAGCAAGAGTTTTTACTTTTTCCCCTCGTATCTTTTCTATGTTTTTTCTTTTTACTACCTTCTCAATATGTACATATTTTACTCAACTTCTCTCTAGATTGTACTTTGAGCACCCAGCTTGTGGGTTGTTGTCTTTTTCTAATCTAATATATATGTAAGTTATTTCCCTTTTATACAAGTTAACCTTTATTCAAAAAAAAAAAACAACAAATAGGAAATGAAACTTGAACTTAAGGAATTTAAGAATATTATTACTTGGATCAATTTTGATTCTTTGCCTCACCGCCATTGTACTCCAAAAAGACTTTAATGCATACTTGTATCTTATTAGCTCATCAATGCATATAATGTCCTGGATATCTGGATTAGGGACTAGCACATCTACACTCTTATTAAATCCCATCATAATTGTGTCATTTGTGTGTACATCCCTATCAGCATAAACAAAACTAGGTTAAAAAAATAACTAGCTGCATTTGGTCTATGAGCTGCCTATCTTACTTCTCATCAATAATCTTCCAAACAGGCTCATAACAGCTCACGTCATCATCTAAATTATGGGCTATCTCTCTTTTGTATCTCTCCGTTGCTTCATATATTGCCCATGGAGGGCTTTTTGCTATCAACTATGTGAAGGACTTTGACAAGAGGAAAAAATACCTTAAGAGCGCCCTTCACCCCTCGCCAAAAAGCCTTAGAAAGGATAATATCTCTCGCCTTCTTTCGTTTTTGATCCATGGGCCACTTGCATGCTCTCCACTCATCTAAGGTAAACATCTACCTCAACTAGACAATCCTCGAATGTATGCTATCTAGGCATAGGTGCCAGGTAGCAAAACTCGTGACCATAGGCCTCAAATCTCCTTCTTGTTTGTAAATCTATGCATCATGCTGAGGGTGAGGGTGCGGCTGTAAATGAAAGTCGTAATTGATTTTG